AAAAAAAGGCACTAACGGTCAAAAACGGTCATTTGGGACCAGATTTATTCTGGCATGTGGCGGTTACAAAGGATTTTGATTTTCTTTGATTTTTGCAGAAAAAATCAAAGAAAATCAAGGCCCTTTGCAACCGAAAAATAACGGATTGCATTAGGTAACCCAAACACACGTTTTAGGTGCACCGGGAGCCAAAAAGGAGACCGGATGCACTTGGGAGTTGACCGTTTCATTTTCTTTCAGTTAGGGGCTAGTTGTGGGGTAGTTGGGCTAGGAAAATGACCCTTACTGCAGTCCGGAATGCAACGGGCTGCATGAGGAAGAGAAAAGACAAAGCCTTGGTCCATCCGAAGCCAATATTGAGCCCGAATACCCAAAAATTGAACGCTTCATTTTCTCTCAGTTGGGGGCAAGTTGTTAGGCTGTGGGACTAGGAAAATGGTCATGGCTTTAGTCCGAGAAATAACGGACTGCATGGGGATGCCCAGCCCAAGGGAAAATAAGCCGCCGATGTCCGAAGGGGCTAGAAGACGGTGTCGTAAACATAGGAGAATGCAACGGTAAATGATGACCGCAAGGTGGGGGTCCCACGGCCGAAAAATAATCGGCACGCTTGGGACACATAGGAAGGATGGATTGGGACTGTCCGGGACAGGGGGGTCCCAAAATAAAAATGGGACGCCGCCCGGGATGTTATCGAGGACCAGGTGGACCCTAATAAAAAAAGTCGAAAAAAAATGGGACGCGCACCGACAATACCGCCGGCGGGGCAAAAAAAATAAATGAGACTAGTACGGGAGAACGGCGGGGACTTGAGGTGTCCCAAGGAACAACCACAAGCCAATAGGAGAAGTGATTGCGCTAGGCCGACGGCGCCGTCGAGATCGGAGATCTTGACGGTGGAAAATATTAGCACCACTAGTGCAAGCACTAGTGCGGCCCAAACAGGAGGCCTAGCAGAAAAAAGAAAAAAAAAACGGGAGTTGCGAGGGTTGCCTAGCAGTCCGAGATAATCATGTGAAAACGAAGCTCCAAGACGCCCAACATGAGAAAACAGGCTGCCGTAAAAAATCGGAACAAAGAGGGCTCAAAATCGAACAAACGGTGGCAAAATGGAGCCCCCTAGGAGCATGGGATGGGCATTTTTTAAATCCAGGATGTAACAGCCAACAGTCGGCCATGAACCTGGCCATGATTAAGGATCTAAGGCCTAGAAAAAGGATACACAGCTGTTTGACACTTGTCACAGCAAAATTAAAAAAAAAAAGAAAAAAAAAAGGGAAAAAATGAAAGGAGAATGAGACAAACCGGGAGAAAAAGGTGGAGGAGGATGTGCCGGCCTATCGAGACTGTTGCAGAAGAGACTGGCAGAGGTCCCAATGACGACCTCATCCCTCCTAGAATGAGGGAGGGCAGGCCGGATTGTTGAGATATTGTTGAGATAGCCCTTGGGGCCATATCTCCACAATATCTGAATTAAAAAGACAAAAATGAAAGAAAAGGCAAAGGAGAAATGACCGTTTTTTTTTTTACCATGGATCTGAGATCAGATTTCATGGTGAAGCGGAAACAACCTTTTTTTGTGGGCCAGCTAAAAACGGCTAGCTCTGAAATGAGGTGGCAGCCCAAAATGGGGAAAAAATAATAATAAAAAAAAAATACAGAACTGCGCATTTGACCCAAAAAGCGAGCCAGATGCACCAAAAATTAAAAAATTGAACTTGGGGGCTCAAATTTGAAGCAAGGACCACCATGGGGTAACTCGGAATAATGCTGGCCTTTGATCTCAGCCTGATCCAAGGCTGAAAATGTGCCACCACATGGAAAAATGCTCCGGCCTACCCGAGGGAGGCCAAAATCAAAAAAAAAACGAGTCTCAAGTAGGTTGTCCCTGTGGCCTTGGACTCAAGGGGGCAGCACTTTTCAAGTGGCATGAGGTTGAAAAGAGGCCCAAGGGGTAATCCGAGTTGATACCAACCACTCGGACTGCATGTACCTGGTCAAAATGAGACTCAGGTGCCCCCGGAGAGGCCTAGTGGTGAAAATTGACCTCAGTTCACTATGAGGCACATGTGGAGGCCCATGGGCTCGCTGGACAGCTGGTTCCAGCCTAAATAAGCTGGGAGTTCAGTCCGCCACACTCCCATTTGCATGAGTGCCCATGCTGTCCAAATGTGCCCATGAGAGCACTGCACTCATGGGCAACCCCTGTCAGTTTGGGAGTCTAGAGGAGACTGTGAGATGTGTAGGACTCCACAGGCTAGTGGTAGTGGGAAAGGTGATCCGCCATTGCTCCCAGGCTGTAAGGAAGAGAGGAAGGCTAGAGGGAGTTCCATTACCCCTCCTAGAGGGAAGGACTCCATAGCCATAGTGGTTGGAGTTTGTGGCAACTTGGGTGGGAGTGAGAAAGGAAGGAGGAGAAGGGCTTGGAGGGGGAGGAAGTCATAGCGAAAGGGGTAGTTGAGCAAGAAAGGGAAGGTCTTCATCAAGATTGGTACTTCATCCCAAGACACCAAGAAGGTGAGCGGAGAGGAGGGTCTCGTCCTTCTTCTTCTTCTTCTTCTTCTTCTTCTTCTTCCTCTCCTTCTCCTTCCTCTTCCTCTCCTTCTTCTCCCACTTCCTCTTTCTCTCCTTCTTCCTTTCCCTCATCCTCTTCTTCTTCCTCCTCTTCTCCTTCTTCTTCTTCTTCTCCTTCCTCTCCCTCCTCTTCTTCCTCTCCTTCTCCTTTTCCTTCCTCTTCCTCTCCTTCTTGTCCCACTTCCTCTTCCTCTCATTCTTCCTTTCCCTCATCCTCATCTTCTTCCTCCTCTTCTCCTTCTTCTCCTTCTCCTTCCTCTCCATCTTCCTCTTCCTCTTCTTCTTCTTCTTCTTTTTCTTCTTCATCTTGATGTTTTGTTGATAATTAGTGCTAGATTAGCCTTGATCTTCACTCCTATGTAAATCGTCACTTTCCCTCTTGCCATTAAATGCATTTGGGCGAGTTCTACTCACCCAACTCTCACTTTCTCTCCAATCTTTCACTTGGATGTAAATCGCAACTTTTGTTCTTGATCATCTTGATGTTTGGGTGATGATTAATGTTAGATTCGCCTTGGTCTTCACTCAATGTTAATCGTCCCTTTCCCCCTTGTTATTTAATGCATTTGGGTGAGTTTTACTCACCCAACTCTCACTTTTTCTCCAATCTTTCACTTGGATGTAAATCGTAACTTTAGTTCTTGATCATCTTCATGTTTGGGTGATGATTAGTGCTAGATTGGTCTTGATCTTCACTCCTATGTAAATCGTCACTTTCCCCCTTCCCATTTCATGCATTTACTTTCACTTTCTCTCAATTTTTTCACTTAGATGTAAATTGCAACTTTAGTTTTTGATCATCTTGATGTTTGGGCGATGATTAGTGTTAGATTTGCCTTAATCTTCACTCCTATGTAATTCGCCACTTTCCCCCCTTGTCATTTCATGCATTTCGGTGATTTCTACTCACCCAACTCTCACTTTCTTTCCAATTTTCCACTTGGGTGTAAATCGCAACTTTAGTTCTTGATCATCTGGATGTTTGGGTATTGATTAGTGCTAGATTTGCCTTCATCTTCACTCCTATGTAAATCGCCACTTTCCTCGTTGTCATTTCATGCATTTGGGTTAGTTCTACTCACCCAACTCTCACTTTCTCTCCAATCTTTCACTATGGTGTAAATTGCAAGTTCAATCTTGGTTCATTCTAGTGTTTTTGTGATGTTGTGCTCATGCATTGTCCATTTTTCTAGTCTAGTGTAAATCACAACTTCCCCTTGTGTGTGTGTGAGTCCAAA